AAAAAAAAAAAAAAAAAAAAAAAAAAGAAAAAGAAAAATTCCTATTACGATTAATTAAATATTCGAATGAAAAAAATTTTTTAATTTATTATTTGTTGCATCTAACTGAGAACAGTCGAATGGTGTATGTATTTTGATGGATCGTCATACGAGAATCAAATGATGTATCGCGCAAATAGGATATGGAATATCTATTATTTTAAGCGCTGTTTATCATTTACATTTACTTTTACCATCAAATAATTTTTTCCAAAGATCAAATTGTTCGCTATATTTGACCATATGAATACTAATGCCTCGTTGAACATTACACGCACTATATGAAATCTTTTTATTTAAAAATTCATTAGCGTGTGTCCTTTTTATTCCCAATTTATCCGCTACTATACCAGTCACAAAAACATCTTCAAGTTTAAGATACGTTTGATCCAATGCAGCATCATATAATTTACGCACAATATCACTGGATAAGAGATATGCTGGTCCGGTAGTAAAGTCTGGAAATACGGCATGTTTAAATTGAGCTTGAGACACAAAATATTTGCTTTTCTTATTTCTAATCGGTTTCCATTTTTTAGCCAATCTTCCAAATATTACGTTTTTATCTCTCGCATGTTTAATTGTAAAAGCTTGCAAACGTGGAACATTAATAAACATATCGTCATCAGTCTTTAAAAGAAATTTAACTTTGGAACAATAATTATCCACCCATTCAAGAGTAGATATCGTTTTAAGCGTCAAATTGGAATAGGAATCTAAAAATTTTCCGCGTATCACGTCGTTGTAAGTTTTTTGCTCTTTTCTCAAAATCGTTTCCACTTTGGAATCCATAGTTGCACCTAACATGAATAAGATACTGATATCACTTCTCTGACCAAAATGACCCCATGTTTGTCGTATCGCCATCCTAGCTTCTAGATGGGTCGGTGCAGACATTATTATGATTACCAGATCCATTTCTTTACCAAAATTTGGGCATTTTTCTGGAATTGGTACCATATGACCAGCTTCATAAATAGCACGCGCAGAGCATTCATTTGAAGGAACAGAGACATCTTTGGTCTCATTTATGATCTTTTCCACTCGTGTCTGTGACTTTTCGTTGCTTTGCTTGGAAACAAGAATCGATACGTTTGTCGTCTGAGAGCTAGATGTTGATTGCGTAGTAATCAAAGAATTTGAAAGATTACTGACATTTTGTACGTTATAAGTGTCGACGATTGATAATTCAGGGGAATCATTCTTGGACAAAGATCCTATACGAAGCTCTATAGTGACATTTGATCGTTGCTTATAAATTTCCTGAGATGTAAGTCGGCCTGAATAAAATATAAAGTTTATGTTAAATATATTAAGATATATCAATCAATGATAACAATAAATATTAAATTAATTTCGTTTTTCATAAGTAAACATAAAATATTATTCGAATACCAGCATAGCATACTTACTGACATTTCGTGATACATTATATTGAGGGACATCGTAATAAGTGCGATAATATGCATAAAAAGTCAAACAAATCAATCCCAGGATAACAGTTCGCAAAGAACGACTACGAAAATGTAGTAATTGATACATGGTGATTTTTTTTTTTTACCCGTTTATTCCTTGTTTATTCCTTCGAATTTTTCTTTCTTCTTCATCTACATTATTATTATGCTATCCGATCGAGTTAACAATGTTACGAGTTTCTTCCACAACGGTGTCGAATGTTGCAAAACTAATTGACAGGTATTTAGATAAAGGGATTATTTTCATATTATTTCATTTGAGATGATTATAGGAAAAATATTTCGATTTTTCTCTCATTTTCGTCTCATGATATCTAGCGTTATTTAGAACAGATGGTCGGTCAGTGTAGCAGCAATCATTAAAATCTTTTTTTCTTACAATCTCCGTGTTGATCTTTTAATCAAAATATCTTGATCTTTCATGCATTGTGTTACACATTGGTAACAAACAACCTGGTTTTTTTAGTCCAACTATCCGAAAAAGATGGATTAATATTTACACAAACGAATTTACGTAACTTCATACGTTTCGTAAGATAAAAGAATCGTTCTCACTGCCATTGTATTTATTTTTTACCACAATATCGACATATTTCATATCGATGACATTGAATTTCCGATCATCAATCATCATCGACTTTATATCGAAAATCGCAAGACTCGTTTTCAAACGAGATATTCGATTGAACCAGACTTATCGAACGATACTTTTTTCGCTATTGAATATTTCTATTTCCTTATTTCTCTTCGAGATGTCGTTATTGTTGTCGTTTTATATTTCCATTCGTTCGTCCATTTTATGAAAATCGAGAAAGCGATTGATCTTTCTTTTTAGTAAATAATTATCAGATTATTAATTTTAATTTGCATTGTGTGACTAGAAAAGACTAGAAAATTTGTGTGATTCGAATTAAATATAATCGGATATATATATCGGATTTATAAAATGAAAGATAATTATAAAATACTTTATTTTATATTGTGAAATTTAAAAAAAGATGATAAATGAATAAATAAGAAAATATTATAAAGAGAAATAAAAATGAAAGATAAAAAAAAATGCACACTTTACTAGGTATTTCGGCAAATTCGAGATTGTTAAACACAAACGCTTGATCAATAACCTATTTTTTTGTAACTGGCAAAATGCCAGAATTTCAACTGATTACGCCTACTGTAAGAGAAAGCAAATGGCGTAACCTTATCCTAGGTCAAGAATGTTTTCACAAAAAAATATTGTTGACTGAATAAGATAAATTGTTAACAATAGAACCGAATTATTGAATCGTTATAACAGGTTTGTTGTAGCAATATATCGAATTGATTCATTTGGTTTTCCTTTTTTTTAAGTATCGATCGAAATATCATCTATATATATATATATATAGATGATATATTATATATATTATCGAAAAGAATAAATGTGCTTATAAGAGTAACATATTAAAATAAAAAATAAATCTTTGGATAAATATTATGCGTTCTTGCAATCGAAAAATATTGTAATTATATTTAGTATCATTTATATTCGTAATTTTATTCAAACGAAATTATTGTTTTTTTTATTTTAAATTAGATGCACATATTTCGAGAATCGATAAATCGATTAAAAAAAAATTTGCAGTAATAATGTTGTAAGTCGATGTATATAAACAAAGAAGCAATATTACGAAATTTATTTGAAAACATCCAATTAAAATGTAAAATCATAACAAGAATGAATATTTTTTTTTCTAGAATTTAAAATATCTAACTAAAGTAAGAATTTCTAGACACTAGAGAGACTCTAGAGAGAATCCACTTGACCTAAAACACCGAGAAAACGTGTTGGTTTGTTAATGAATGGTCAATCAGGATTTTTTTTTTTTTGGATTAAAAAAACCATGTGATTTTTTTCTTTCAAAAAAACGAGAGTTTTTGTTTGCTGAAATGAGAAATAATTATTTTATAACACATCGATTAAATTCAATTATTGATGGAATTAACCTTATTAATCGTTGATAAACGAAAAATTTATTCGAAAATTTATTAAATATAAATTAAAGTAGAATATGACAAGGAAGAGAGAGAGCAAAGAAGAAAAGAATAAACTATTTAAGAAAATATATAGATAGATACGTATATTACATCGATATCTAAAGAGAAGAAAGACGGCGCGCTGCGACACGATGGCAGTAACGTCGGATGACCGCCAACATTGACAATCGCGCGCAACCAATCGATGGCCCACTGCCACTTTGCTTCTGCCTACAACCCGTCTTTCTTACTTTCTCTCTACCTCTCTTTTTAATCCCCTTCTTTGACACACCCCATTCTCTATTTGTTCCTCCACTCTTCAACTCGATTTACTTTATGCTCCCTTTTCACATTTTCGCTCCTATTTTATTACAATTATTTTGATCAAAGACTATTTTTTCTTCCTTTTTTCTTCCTCTTTCCACTTCAAGTTAGATTTCCAAAGTACAGACGATTATTCTTACAAGGAATATTTTCTCTTCTATTCCGATCATTCATCGAGGTAAGCGTGTAATCGTACTTTTCACAAAATGATATGATTTCCATCGTTATTCTTTGACTGCAACACATTTCACATACGATGTTTTTGAATACATATTCACTTATCTTTTTTTTTTTTTCTTCCATCAGTCTATTTCTCCTTGTTGCCGAAAGTTTATCTCTATCCTCGCGAGTGTTTCCCCAGTGATGTGCAACGTCAGTGGCCGCGTCGGCGTCGGCGTCGGCGTCAGGACATCAGTGTCGGTGTCACTAGCGTCGGCGCTATCATATCGGTGGTTGGTTAGTAGACGAACGAAGGCGGTCGAGTAACGTTGGGACACGTCGTGATCATTGAGAGTTCAATCCGTCCACTCTCTTTAACCTTCGTTCACACTTGTTAATAACGGTGGAAAGTTTGTAAATCGTATATATCAGAGAAAACTCTAAACTATCCTTTTCTTTTTTTCTTTTTCATAGATCGCATTGTCATATAACGACGCGTCTAGAAAAGTAACGAATAATTTGATATTTGTAACGCAAAACAAGATTCTCAGTGTATTCGAGCGCGATAACATGAACACAGGATGATCTGTCGATATTCGGGGACACTGTGGCCGTGTATTGCTTGAAAAAAAAGGTTGGTTTCAGTGGGTTTGTAATAACGATCGCAAAAGTTGTGACACGTGCGCATGCACGAAAGAGAACGAGAGTGCAAAAGAGGAAATGGGAATACGATAGGACACGAGCGACTGTATGCCAATAAGCAAAAGAGGGAAAGAGATCGAGCGAGAGATTCGCTCCAACAAGTAGATTCGTTTCGTTATTCCTGCGTGTCGCGACACACCCTTCAACACTGGATACGATCTTTCGTTTTCGCGTTTCGCAACGAATCGACGACATTACGTTTCGCGTACAAACATAAATTCGATTTCATTTGACGACGACAAAATTTCGTAACGAAAAGAACTTTGATTTTTACAGCAAGTTTTATAGGAATGAAAACGATTAAGGAATAATGAAATAAAAACGATTAGCATATCGAGAATTTGTAAAAGGATATCTACGAGTGAAAAGAATATCTATGATAATGAGCTATACCGGTGCCGGTAGTTGCGCGCGTTTCTACCCGTTGATATCGATGCGGAAGTGTCGATATAAACTGCGTGTATAATGCGTCTCGTTGACAGTTGAATTTTTCATTAACATTATATTCGTTATCTTTATAAAAAAAAAGAACGTGATCGAAAGAATAGAAACACGCGATCACGAATAGATACGATATAGATATAATATACTATATACATTTACAATTTAGTTCGAACATTTGTATATTTAAACGCACGTACGCGTGAAAAATATTAACGAGAGTTGAATCGAAGAGGAGAGGGTGTGTGTAAACATTGGACGCACTAAGAATAAGAAGAATCGATACGAAACGTATCAAGGAGGAACCACGTGTACGTGTTATTTATAGAATGGGAAATGCGCGGAAATGTGGGCCAATACGGGACGTTGAGAAGGAAGGAAAACAACGGCAAAAACGCGCGTGAAATATAAAGCGTATAAAGCGTGACCGTACCACGATCATATTAAGTCGGCGATTGAACTCGAATTTAAACCGGCATTCGACACTGACACGTTACAAGCGTTATTTACGTTGCGTTACAGATATTTGCATATCTATGGGTAAATGTGTATATAACTGGTTGAAGTTCATATATATGTATACTCGAGCACGCGATTCACTCTAAGGTAGGTTTTTCGAAACCGACATCTCATTTCGTCTCGCAATAATTGTCGCGCTCGTCAACGATCGCCAATTCGAATCAACCATCGCCGCGTTTCGTTTCGCGTGCATCTCGCGTGACTCGATCCTCGCGCAAGTCAATCCTTGATCGAACAAGGAAGTACTAGAGTGACGCGATAGATAGAGCAACAAAGAAAATGGAACTGAACAGAGACGAACGAACGAACGAATGGTGGCAATCGATATTCGTTTGCGTTTCAACCGTCCAACTTTCTTATCTCTTCTCTCCTTTCCTAATATTTTTTTAATTATCTTAATTACGAGCGTGCATCGATACACGCAAGAACGTGTATGTGTATATATGTGTATGCGTGCGCGCGCGCGCGCGTGTGTATACGTATATATATATATATATATGAATATTCCAAGATGAAAAGAAATTGATCGGATCGTAGGTGTGGCGGACGGAAAGAAGAAGGGATTGATAACCGATTGGAAAAGGAAATATCGAAAAGTATATATCCTGAGGGAGCAGAATGATCGATCCGAGCTCGTCAGAGTCGGAAAGCGAGGAGGACCAGAGTTCTCAACACGTCGGAAGTGTCGGTGGCGGTAGTGGCGGAGGCAGCGGTGGAGCTCGCGCAGG